GGGCTGGAATTCAGAACTCTGCATCATGTGTTTTCGTACTTCTCCGTACTTTCTTGGCTTATTTCAGAGCAGAAGTCACCCTAAAAGTATAGAGATTTAGCTAAGGAGGCCAAACCCTTTCAAACCAGGTGGATCACTAGAATAGCTAACACCATACAAGGATGTAATTGGGGAATGCATGGGCCTGAGGTTCTTTTGTAATTCAGAAAGATTGATTTTCTTCTTTATTGTATGGTCAAATTTATGCAGTTCGTATGTATCATCCCTGCTGCCTAGTCTGGACAAGTAAGAGAATTACCTCTAAGGCATTTAATACAAAATTCTACAGTCAATTAGAAAAAAAGGCTCTTTATCCTACATATGAATATATGAAGGAAAATAAACATGTTCTGGGCAGGGATTTAAAAACAAATCTTCTTTGACAAAACTACAAAGTGAAAAATACGACTCTTTTACCTGAAGGTAGAGAGTTAATTCTTAATTGAAGTGATTAAAATCACATGCATTGCACAAATCATAATATTCACGAATCAAGTTGTAGGATTCAAACAAAAATCATAAGATTTGGAAAAAGGATTCCGACACAAGATTTTTGAAAAAGAAAAGATAAAATGCTTAGGTAATGTCAAAACTAAGACAACTTCATTCTTATATTCACATTATAAATGTCCATAATGATGTGTTCAAAGAAGACTAGAGCAGCTCAAGTGGAAAGCCATCATAAATATGAGAACTTGAGGCCTAGAACGATTCTAGCTAACTTTCCAAAAACAGTGTGAGACTCCAAAGATCAAATCATAAAGCACATAATAAACCACCTAAGCATTCGAATGTTAAAATGTAGAATCATGCAAGTAAGTCTTTCAACAACAAACAACAAATGCTCAAGATCTTTGCCCAGGCAATTACCTCAGTTTTGCTTGCAGGAAATATATTAAGCCTGCGAAGTCTTCGGGGATACTTCAATTCAGCTTCATGCCTTTGTTTGCCACAGGTAATCCCAGAAAGTGTAGAAGGGGGCTGAGGATGGTCAGGACAGCTGATAGGAGCAAAATCATGAGACTTCCCACCAACCAACTGAGCTTCAAACGAAAGGTGAGGTCTGGGAACTAGAAAAACAGAAGGAAAGGTTTCATATTAAATTATATCAATACAGCTCAAATAGATAATGGAACTAGAAAATGAATTCATTAATAAATAATGAAACACAACAAGAAGTTGCAAAGGATACAAATAGACACCGTGTGTTTAAACCCTAAGAATTACAACTGATCCCAAAACATAGACTGCCTTTGTACTCCTTGCTTAGCAAGACTCTGCCAAACAGTTGGCAGATCTTCTGACCCATAGGACTTGAATGGACATGTCCCTAGAAAGCCATTTGAACCTCCTAAGGCCATTCCTCAGATGCCAAGAGACTCCTTCCCCTTTCATTAACCAGTCCACCACTACTTTGGAATCTCCGTGAATGATGGTCAGACCATTCAAACAGGGACCCAGCAGCCAAAACATGTGTCAATTGCTGTTGTAACCTGTAATATTTATTGTTTTATGCTCATTTTGATTTAAAATAGCTTCTAATATTTTATTCGAGAGCCAAACAATCAATTGGATGGTTTAACCACTCAACTGGTGACCCAGTGACCAAAATTTTTCTTCATCCAAAGTCTGACAACATTGCATTATAAAGCTCTCCCGTGAACCAATTTTACCGCTACTCCACTTTTTTACATGTATGTTAAACATATATACATACCACCTCTGTGGCCAATAATATCACTCAAGCAATATACATTAACAAAATGTAGGTAACACCATAAATCATAAATGCAATTTCCATAAGAAATGGAAAAAACATTCATATGAGTTTTGGTTTAAATCAATATAGAAACATTAAAAAAATGAAGGGTTCTAAACAGTGTTCACAGTTTTGCCAATGCATACAAATTTTCTAGAAATTTCCCAATTTTCCCAACAGGTGAAACAAAACTTCCTGAATCAGAAAATTCCAAACTATGTATGCGCAAACATACATATGTCAAAATATTGCACAATCATGCAGCATAGAAAATTCTGGAATCACGTGTTTCCATAAATTTAAGAAGTGGTATTTAAAATTATTGATTCTGATCTTCAAATCAACAAATCTCAACTAGATTTTTTTAGTTCAGTATTTAACTTGAAAACAATTAACTCTTTATAACAATCATACAATATATATGATGATTATGGTTGGTTGGTTACTATCCTCATCCATTTATGTTTTAGTGTATAATATACGTCACTTAAGATTTACTAAAGTTTCATAAATATACTTTATAGTTTTCTAATAGATTGAAATATTTGCCAATTTTACTTGGATTTTCTACATTGTTTTGCACAATTTCTGAATTTGAAGAGGCAAAATGACTAACAAAATTGAAACTTCAAAGTAAGCTTTAGCAGTTTTTCCTTTTTTCTAGGAAAAAAACAGTTCTAAAGAATTCAAACCCAATGTTAGACAAAGAATACATATCTCCATCATTGGCAATCTGCCAAAGAATTCTATACTTCAATGACATTACAATTTTTAAATGTGCACAGTTTAGTTGTAGCTGGAATTCTTCCACACAGATTTAATGTAGAACTAGTGGACAAATGGCTGAAAACCTAACTAGAAAACAAAGTAAGAGGTTCCCAAGAAATATCCAAGGGAAACAAGTACTGTATGTTAAGTAATGGGTTTATGAAATTGTTTGAACAGGATGCTCTAGGTCATAGGTGGTGGTGATTTAGCAATGGAACAACACTTCAATAAGAAATTTAAATAAGCTTAAAAGATTTTTTAATAATAATATACAATTAAATGATATACCTGTTATAATATTCAATTAAATGGAATCAGCAGAGTCGGATTTCTCAAAAGTCTGTTTACGATGACATCTATAGATGAACTTCAAATCTACAACACAATTGCCTTCCTAATAAATGCAGCTAAACATAGAAATAATTGCTACCGAAGAAACAATTTCCAATTTAAATAAGCCTAAAAGACTTTTTCAATCTCTTCAAAACATTGATATCATGATATCAAATCAAACCTTTGATTCATTTTATTGAAAGAATCCCATACAGGTCACACATGAGCTAGTCGAATCAACTGGAATAACCCCAAGTTCACAGGCTTTCATGCCTGTCTTGAGTGTGGACCTTCAAAAGTGATTCTGATAGAACCCCGATCCAGCCATCTCAGGTTCTGAGGGTTCAGCCAGGCAGTCTACCAAAGATATCTCGTGTGGCACCCCCTATCAAATTTGTCTACTCCAGGAAGACACGTCAGCATAACTAATCCACCCCCCCGCCATGTGTGGGTAAATCAGGCTGATATGCATGAGGAGTAGTATAAATATCTCTGTGAAAGTCTGAGGTAGAGCAGAAAACATTACCAGAATTCTTCTCCTTCTTTTTATCTTCTTTCTTAGGAGGAAGAGCTCCCTCGAAGTAGCTCAGTTTTCCTGTGTAGCTTATCAGATTCTTCTTTGTCAGGCCTGGATTAATATATATTGTAGGCCTAAAAGCCCGGCAGGCCAGGGACTATGTTTAGCAGCCCATTATATATGGTGCAAAACCTAGCTTGGGCCAGGCCCAGACCACAACTCTCTAATAGTGATTTCCCTATCATACCCTTTTTTGAAAAATATTTCTCTATCATACATTCAATACAACTCTTTTATTCCTTCCAAAACTTGAGGGTGGCAAGAAAAAACCATGCCCTTTTCACCGATTTCTGAAAATCGTAATCATATTGTAAATCACAAGAGGGTTTAATTGAATCGTATCCTGAATGGTATCATAATTTCTACTGGCAAGTTATTTACTCACAGCAAAATACAGTACAGCAACCATAGTTTTTCTCTACTTTCTACCTCAAATATTAAAGATGTCAACAATTATGGTGTAAAGAACTATAAGACTAAGGACTTAAACAAAGAGAGTACGCACAGATAGACACAAAGATAACAGAAATTCCCAAAATAAAAAAGAAAATATCCTTGCAAACTTTTTCAGCTATATAAATGGTAAAACTTCCCACATGGTCTACAAATATAACAAACAGATAACATAGAGCCAAAGAGAAGCAACTATCATTGCTAAAGATAAAACAAAACATAAAAGAAAAGGTAACACAACAACATTGATCAAAACAGAAGGCAAAACAACAACAAAATCGTACCACTATCAGGCTTCCATCCATTGCTGGATAAAGCTTGTATTCGATCCCATAAATCTTCTAAAAAGTCCTGGTAAGGGAAAAAAACCAATCACAAAAAGAATAAATAAATAAATTATATGTTAAACAAAAAGCGATCTGTTGCAAGTTGAAGGGCTAGAAAAGCTAGCTGCAGACCAAACAAGACGTAGGTGAGGTATTAAGAAACGATTTGGGTGCTCAAATTTAACAATGGATATGACACTAATGGAATAGCAAAACAAGATTCATGTAGTCAACCCCATATAGTTGGGATAAGGCTTAGATGATGATGATAATGATGATATGTTAAGCAAGAAATAAAAAAATCAAATTTTAATTGCAAAACATATCTGACAGAAAATAACTGTATAAAAACTTAAAGGGTACTTATTTGTCTGACAAAAACTCTCAGTTCATCTTAATGAATGACACAATAATGATAAGCCATTATACATGCACCATTTGCAACAATAAAAGTATATAGTGTATTTAAATCAATGATTTCAGGTCAGCAATGGAGAACTAAGTTTTTTTTATGGATAATGGTTGGTGGAGAGACCAAGTTATGATAAAAAAGTTCGTTAAAACAGGAATCCAAAAGCAGAACAAGAGTGGACATTGCTTTCCTACTAACAACAGTTGGATAGCCATGGATCATCTTTCTTTTTGAAAAGGTTATATCCATATTTAAATATGGTAAATATTTCATTAAATTGATGCTTCACACAACCACATGTCTGAATAGCTATGGTGTGGCCTCTGAGAAGTCTGAAGTGCACAACAAAAGTGTCCAAGTAACGTTGTGCAGCAAGAGTGCTTAAAAATACCCTTACTAAAAGTGAGAGGTGTACAAGGAACTAGACTCAACTTATTCCCAAAGTTATCCTTTCATTTTTTGCATAACTGAAATAGCATATGCAAGTTCAAAATTAAATATGATGGTGTCTATTAACTTTATCCAGTTTGTATAAACACTGAAACACATCACATACATTTCATTTTGTGGGTGGAGAAGGCCAACAATTACATCATGATCCGATGCATAGTTGTCAAGGCGGCACCTAGGCGGTTTTTCATGGTTGCCTTGCCCAAACGCCACAAGTTTTGCATATTAGGCGACTACATTCATCTAAAAACTATTTTTTTAATTTATTGTTTTGATATTTTTTTAAATTTATTGTTTTGATATTTTATTGGATGTTTTATTCTTTTAAAATAAATCTGATTACATGATATCATTTTAGTATTAAGACCAAGTATACAGCCTTTTTTTCTTTATGTCATAAGGGTTTTTTTTGGTTCGATTGGAGAGGAGGGGAACCGAAGGATTCAAGCCCCAGCCGAACTCCATCGCACCTCAGACATTTTTTCCAGATCTCAGACATTTTTTCCTTTTTTTTCGAAAAAACAGGGGCTCCGTTCCTCCCTTTCTGCACTCATCTTCTTCTTATTTCTTCTTCTTCTTCTTTCTCTTTTTCAGATTTCAGTCGAATCAGTCCAGAGTTCTCTCTTCTCAACTCAGACATTTTTTCATTTTTTTTTTCAAAAACACAAGGGCTCCACCACTATACTCCTCAGTCCTTCGCTTTTTTTTTTTTGAAAAAACAGGGGCTCCGCCCTATACTTCTCTCCTCCCTTCACTAATTCAGTCATCTTCTTCTTATTTCTTCTTTTTCTTTTCCAGATTTCAGTCGAATCAGTCCAGAGTTCTCTCTTCTCGGCTCAGACATTTTTTCATTTTTTTTCAAAAAAACAGGGGCCCCGCCCCTATACTCCTCAGTCCTTCACTTTTTTTTTGAAAAAACAGGGGCTCCGCCCTATACTCCTCTCCTCCCTTCACTGATTCAGTCATTGTTCTCACTTCTCACTTCAGTTTTTAACAGGCGAACCTATCATTAATATATATGAATATGATTATATAGCGGCGCCTAGGCGCCCCATGGTCGCCTTGACAACTATGATCCGATGGAAGCAACTAGAGACCAAAGAATCTGCTTTTTCCTACTACTAAGTACTAAATGGAGCAGCCAACCAAGGCTGCTAAGTTAACGCATAAAGTTGTAATGCTGGTTTCATAATTTTATGGATTTTTTTATTTGGATCAAATATCTAGACTCTCTAGTGGAGTGTTTTAGGACCCAAGGCCCATCATCTCCTGCTTTCATCGACACAATGGCCTCTTGGAAATCACCTTCCACTCCCAATGGACCAAATTCCAGACATACAGTAAGCACTCCCATATTTAACAGTATTACCTCAGCCTTCACAGAATCACCTTCTCCAATAGAAACCAAGTAAACCAGAATGGTGCCTCCAGCATGTTTCTGATACCTCCTCCAATCCAGATTTGTCCTGAATTGCCTAGATCGGGTTTAGTACTTGTATAACAGTTTAGTGTAACATTATTTTTTTAAAGCAAAGGAAAATTTTATTAAAACCAGGAGGCACAAACAAAAGAGATAAGAAATCACCAAGAGGAAGGAAGAACTTTTAGGAAGCACACCTCTTAACAAATAGCTGAAGCGCCCAAAAGGAACAACCATAGTAATATTTTAAGCACTTGTTCATTCATCAAAAAAAAAATATTTTAAGCACTTGTCTAGAGTCTAGACAACTAAAATGACTATAGAAGGATGATAAGCCCTTAACATATACAAAAATTGTGCTTATATATGCATAGAAACATTTACATTCAGCTCACCATACAGAGAATCTAAAAATGATAGAAATCCAGTTTTCAGTAAAAAACTTGGCTAGAGTTCCACCAAAAAGCCTTGAAACACTAGTCCATCTCTTCAAGTTCCGTTCCACCTTACTGTTGACATTTTCAACTGGAGTTCATTTAGATTCAAAAACTCTGCAGTTCTACTCCTTCCACACTGCCTAGCAGATTGCAAATGGAAAACAATTCCAGAGAAACATCCCTCTCTCTGGCAAACACCTCAGCCAAAGTAACACAGAAAGTCCAACGCACCTAGAACAGCTGAAAAAAGTGGGGCACCAAATCCGAAAAGTAAACGAGAAATGGAGCAACAGATGGTGAACAGATTTGGAATCTACACCACAAAGGCAACAGAAATTGTTCTACGCCACACAAAAAATATAAACCCTTTTTAACAGCAAAAGAATTTCATTAATTAATTAAGTCAAACTTAGTACAACAGTCAGAAAATTCCCACCAGCCCTAGTTACATCGGATTAAAATCTTGCCCAAACTAAAAGAGGTTTTTCAACTCCCTGTTTTGCTAATACATCCGCTATCCCATTTGCAGTTCTTCTTACCCAGTTGAACTTAGGATTAATCCTCTTTGCTAGGAGATCAATTTCCCTCAAAGCATGTGTATAGTTCCAAGGTGCCAAGCTGCTTTCCTCGGTCCCTAAGACTGTTCTCAAACGGGTTTACAACAGCTTAGAGATGATATTATAAAAACTTCCTATGAGGCTGATTGGGCAGAAATCTTTGAGGTCAGCAACTCCAGCCATTTTAGGGATTAGGGAGATGAAATTAGATTTTGCTCCTTGAGGTCAGCAACTCCAGCCACTTTTAGAGATCATCACTTCTCTAAAAATCTTTCACTGTGAATAGCAAATAGGCCTTCAAAAAAATCCCAACACTAGGTGTAGAACCCTATTGGGAATCCATTAGGGCCTAGGGCTTTGTCCCCATTGAGCTCCTGTAATGCTGCCCACATCTCCAAGCTGATAAAAAATAACACCACCTAACTGTGGTCTGATTACCTTCCCTTCTGCATATAGATCCTTGTAATAAGAGATAATGCCATTTAATACCTCTTCTCGAGAGTCCAACAACCTGCCATTGGCCTTGATTGATCATTGAAGTAAGTTCTACCTTCTCCTTGCACTAGCCCTTTGATGGAAAAATATGGTGTTCTTATCCCCTCATATCAACCATAACACCATAGATTTTTTACACTAGGGCACTTCTATACAACATTGCCTGCAGAACTCATTCCAAGCCACTAGCCTCCTACAAAGATTCTCCTCTGAACTACTTCAAACTCCCTTCCCATCTAGCTCTGAGACTGTATCCAATATCCTTTCCTTGCGCGACTACAGACTCCCAAAAGCATTAGAGCTCCACTCCTTATTTTGTTCTTGACAAATTTTAACTTCTGAACAAAAGTTAGCTGAGGCATCTACAACTACACACCAATCTTTCACCTTCTCATAGAATACAGTGGCTTTGATCACCTCAAATCTGAACAGGCCTAGTTTTCAGGTAACCTCACCAAATTGCAGAAGCAGCGGCAAGTGATCAGAAGTTGAATGAGGCAAGGTTCTTTGTACGATTTCTGGAAATGACTATACCCAATCACCATTAACAAGGAGACAATCCAGACTTGACACAGCTGGAATAGAGATGAAATTACTCCAAGTGAAAGCAGCACCCTGCAAGGGCAAATCAATCAAGCTCATTCTGTTCATGAAGTCACTAAAAGGCATTAAGATAACATCTCTGCCAAAATTCACATCCCCCAGAAGGGAACCTTGTTTTGTTGATATTACATGTATGCCCCTCAAAGACTGCCATCTACTGGCCCATCTACACCAGCAGACTTATAAACACCTCCCAAGCTTCAACCATTCCAACCCCTCACAAACAAAGAGAAAACTCCAGCAGACTTATAAATACCTCCCGAGCTTCAACCACATCACAATGATGTTCCCAGATGCCCCATTAGCAGGCCTCTCCGCGCATTGACAAACACCATCACCTCACACCTCCCTATTTACTACTTATCCTGCATTTTTAAGTTACACCTGCTACAATATATCATTATCAATATAAAATATCTTAACATGTTTTTCTATTTCTTGGCAACTTTTTTATTTATGTTTCATTGGAAATTAGGGATTGAACAAGAGAAAAACAGCTTGCGGTTCAAAGCAAGAGAACAACAACTCCTTGATAAACACCCCCACAGAGGCACAGACTGAGCAAGTTTCCATAATTCACTTATAAATCTCCTGTCCATTTGTATTTGGAATTTGGGAATACGTCTGTTCTCTCTTCAGTTGCAGATGGGTTCTCCCACAAGAAGTGGTAAGTTTATTCAACCCCAACTTCCTCAGACTCAAGGAGAAGAGAGGGACGATCATGTAGAGGGCATTTAGAGCAGCACTGGTTTAGACAATATGGAAAGAAAGGAATAATAGAACTTTCTGTGAGAAAAGCGGAACAAAGGAGGAGCTAATGAAAGCTACTCTATTAAGAGCTGCACATTGGGTAAAAACATTGAAGATTTTTAGAGTGTTGTCAGTCAACGATATTATTAGATCTTGGTCTGAAGTAATGCAAACAGGTGGACACACAAAAGAAGTGCAGGTGCGTTGGAAGCTCCAGCCTGCTAATAAGCTGAAGCTGAACTTTGATGGTAGCTCTATGGGTAAGAAGAGTAGGCATTGGAGGAGTGATTAGAGATCACCAAGGTTCAATGGTACTGCTGTATTCAGGTCCAGTTGGATTAGGAGATGCTGTCAAGGCAGAAACCTTGGCATTGTTACAAGGATTGCGATTAGCATGTCAGCTGAGTCTCAGAGGCTTGGAAATTGAAGGTGACTCAAAACTAGTGATTCATTGGGCAAAACAAATCAAACCAGCACCTTGAAAATACAGGCATAATTTTATGGAAATTGATGTCATTGCAAAGCAATTAAATTCAAACTTCAGCTGGTGAGAAGATCTGCAAATGAGGTTGCTGATGCTCTAGCTAAACAGGGAGTTGACAGACCAATTTTGTTTTGGGCAAACTTGTAAAACTCTGGGCTGGAATCATCCAACAATTGTACTGGATTTTATCATTAACCTGGTGGATTCCATTTGCTGATTAAAAAAAAAGTTTGCATATGTTCTCCGCCTGCTTCTCTTCTGCTGCTGCTGCTGCTTTGGCATTAAAACAGGGACCCTGTCAGCCTATCCCCTTTCTTTTCTCTTTATTTTAGAGCAGTAAAACAGGAGCTCTGCCCCTTTCTTTTTTCTTTAATTTTTAGCTGTAAGCATTTTTTTATAGGAAACAGTAACATTCACTGATTAGATTAATTAAAGAATTACAACAGTTACCACCCAAACAAAGATGGTGAACTGTCAATCATAGTTTTCAAGGCACCAAGGCGAGGCTAGGCGACAGGGGGCCGCCTTGTCGCCTAGGCGATGGATTTTCTTAAGTGAAAAATACATATCCTAGGTAGTTCCCTAGGTTCCATAACCATCTTTCCTTAATAACTATCCATAATTTTCATAAGAAAATTATAAACTTCATGTTTATGCCTAGAAAATCAACATATTTATGAGAAGAAAAAGAAGAAAGAAAAGAAAATTCAAAAAATAAGGGGACTGAACCCCTATTTTTGTTTTAGGAAAAGAAGAAAAGAAGAGGTGGAGGAAGGAAAAGAAGAAGATGTGGAGGAAGAAATGTGTTGATTAGACAAAACATTAAGTTTTTCCCTTACTTATTGGTTCAAATTCTGAAGTCCTTGAGGGTTCAATACAGCAGTTAGCAATGTTTGTGTTGATTAAACTCTAACAAATAAGAAAATAATAAAAAGAAAATAGTTTATAAACACAAAAAATGAATATTTCTGTTTAATAATGTCTATTTTATAATTATAGTCTCAAAAAAGTAACAATATAAAAGTATTTTATAAGACAGTATACAAAACTGCTAGGCGACTGGGCAAGGCAAGCCTCCAAGGGCGCCTTGTCGCCTAGGCGTCGCCTTGACAACTATGCTGTCAATAGACATTCTTACAAACAATCCCAAAACAAAGCCTCCCTATTTACTCTGTGTTTTGCTAAAGCATTGGCCATTCCACTTGTCTGAATGACCAAGTGCCGAAGCTTCTCGTTTGCAGCCATCTCATTACCAACTTGGAGTCCCCTTTCACTTCTATCTATTGCAGCACCAATTGTTTAGCTAATCTGAGGCCTTGGAGTAAGCCATCACTTCTACCCTTAGAGAATCTCCTATCCCAATTGGGCCCGAGAATAGGACCAGCACACTTCCTCATCTCTAAAAACACCCCAACTCCGGAAGGACCTGGGTTACCTACAGAGCTTCACCAAAGTTCATTTTAGCTGTAAGCATCTTCTCTATTCTGTATTTTTCTAATTGCAATGAAACAAGGAAGCCATGCCTCCACGGTTTTCTTTTTTGAGTCTAATATTTTTTGCACTAAAACCTTTCTTTTCCATTCTTTTTTTTTGCAGTACATTATTTTCTGTTCAAATATTTTAAAGTAAAACAAATTGTTTTATGTTCTGCTCTCTTTATTTTATTTTCAAATTTTTTTCTTTGTTCTTCAATCTTGTTAAGTAAGATAGGGACTCCACCCCTTTGTTTTTATAATAGGGATTCCCCCTTCTTAACATTTTCACATAAAAAAAGCTTTGAATTCAGTGGCTGAGGAGCATTGGGGGCTTATTGTTAAATAAAAATTACACTAGAGGTGCTGCTTCAAGTAGAAATGGTATAAACTTATTAGTTTATTATCCAAGTTACTTTTTTATTACGTAATCTAGTTGCAATATTGAATTCCTATTAATATATTGCATATTTGAAATATCGAAATTAATATACTTATATGTCTATCTCCAAAAAATAATGTCTATAACCCCATTCAACTAGAAATTTAATGCATGAACCATATCACCGAAAGTCCCAATGTAAAATTCCATTTGAAGTTCCAAACTTTGAGAAGATAAACCATACAATTGAAATTGATATCCACAAGAAGATTAGAAACTTGGAACAAAACCACACCTTTTCATCACGAACATTCTGATTTTCATCATCAAGCTCAAAAACTGAGAACCCAACATCACATGTGCGTTTTCTGATGCTCAAATAAGCTTCTATGCCAACCATGACTCTCTCAATCTCCTCAGGAACTTGCTGCATACAAAGTTCTCTTTTTCAGGAATCAGGAGAATTACACGAGGACATTTGATATGCAATTCACAAGTTTAGAGAAATCAGCAGGGCAATAGCACTACATACTGAATATCACCAAACTCGTCATAAACCTTAAATTCCAATCCACATACTCAGAGTAAGTTAATTTGATTAGTAGAATTCACCTTGAAATTAAAATTTAAAAGAAAGTTGGTTAATCAGAACAGCATCCAGTTGCCTTATGTTATTTGCCATTATCTATGAACGACAAATGCATATGAATCACCATTGCAGTACCAAAATGTTTCTATTTGCATTAACCATCCAATAGACATCCAAACACATGTAATATAACAAATATAAAAAACATAGAATTATTATAAGATCAACAATTTTAACCAACTTCAAAGGAGAAGACCACATATATATCTCAGACATGAGTTAGAATCAAAAACTCTATGATTCTTTAGTTTTTATCAATAAAACTCCACGGATTCTTGAGCAACAGTTTTGTGTAACATTTCCTTTTCTCCTAGCTTATTTGACATTAATGAGCAGCTAGTCTACAAGATGGGTGTCATTTCCCCCATAAAACTTTACCTAGTAACAATGGCAACATTTTAGGCCCCTTTCCTGTAGGTATATGTTAGAATTCAGAAAGTATGAACTATTTTAATAGAATATACTTTACCATCTTTTCTCATCTTGCGGAGTCAGACCCTTCAACATGTGCTGAATTCCAACTCCGGTGCCTCAGTCAATACAACACTGAAGGAGGCAGTCTGTGTCCTACCATAAATTATACATGTCTAATCTAATGCAATCAAAAGGAGAGGTCAAAAGGAGGATATTCTCACTTTCTGACTCATAGAGAACATCATAAAATTCATTGAAGAACCCTAACATCAAAGATCACACAATTGATCTTTTTGATAAGTAAATCATACAATAGATTGATTCAGTAGACAATAATTTTCTACCACAATCCTTGGGTGTGAAATTATGAAATAGGCTCCAACCATTATATATTGTGAATTTTATTTGGATAATTCTCTTAACAATTCCTTTCCGCTTTTTTATCAATAACAGTGATAATTCTATTGATTAGTATAAATTAAAGAGTACAATAAAGCATCAGAATGGAAGGTTTGGTTTGGACTAGGCTGTCTGAAGAACAAGTAAACTGGTTAGAAACGGATTTTAGTGAAGAGGAGATCAGACAGGTGATGTTTTCAATGGATGGATCCAAAGTACCTGGTCCAGATGGTTTCACCATGGCTTTCTATTAGGACTGTTGGGATGTGGTTAGAGAAGACCTTGTTGGGGTGTTTCAGGAATTTGCAAACAAGAATAAGGTAAGCCCTGGAGTTAATGCTACCTTCTTAGCCCTAATCCCAAAGAAGATAGATGCAAAGGATCCTAAGGGTTTTAGGTTGATTAGCCTGGTGACACGCATCTATAAAATCCTGGCTAAAGTGCTTTCTGTGAGAATTCGAGTAGTGCTACCTTCCATCATTAGTCAAGCACAAGGTGCTTTCGTGCAAGGAAGCCAAATAATGGATCAGATCTTAATAGCAAGTGAGCATGTGGAAGACATGAGAAAGTCGGGGAATCAAGGTTTTGCTTGTAAGCTGGATTTAGAAAAGGCATATGATATTGTGGATTGGAGCTTTTTACTAGAGGTCCTTGGGTGTTGTGGATTTGGAGATAGATGGTGCAATTGGGTAAGGGGCTTATTAGCTCTTGCCATTACTCAGTCTTGGTTAATGGGGTGGTCAAAGATTTTTATCCCAACTTGTAGAGGCCTTAGACAAGGTGACCCCCTCTCCTGTTTTCTTTTCACCTTAATTGCATATGTCTTCAGTAGATTAATTTCTAAGGCAAATAAGGAAGAGGCAGTGAGAGGTTGGAGGGTAGGAAGGAACAATGTCCGGGTGACGCACCTACAGTTTGTCAATGACATCATAATCTTTTGTGAAGGGGGTGATAGGCAAAAAGTGGTAGGTGTTAATATGAATGAGAGTTGTGTCTCCAATCTGAAGATAAACCTGGATAAGAGTTGTGTGGTAGGTGTTAATATGAATGAGAGGATTCTTGAGTCTGTGGCGGATTGCTTAGATTGTCCCATTTCTTCTTGGCCCTTGCAGTACCTAGGTCTCCCTCTAGGGGCTAACCCAAAAGAAAGTAGTTTCTGGACCCCAATTTTGAAAAAGTTTGAGAAAAGATTAGCTTCTTGGAAAAAGAACTACATCTCTCTAGGGGGTAGGGGGTAGAGTGACCTTATTGAGAGCCACCCTATCAAACCTACCGGTCCATTTTTTTCTCTATCTTTAGGATTCCTATTAGGGGGGCAAAGAAGTTGGAGAGATTAATGAGAAATTTTCTTTGGGAGCCAGGCAGGAAAAGAAAGATCATTTAATTAACTGGGAAATAGTTTGTAAGGGTAAAGATGAGGGTGGATTGTTCTCAAGAATAAAGCCCTCTTGGGAAAATGGTTGTGGAGGTGGCCCATAGAAAGGGAGAGGTTGTGGCATGAAGTGATAGCTAGTATACATTGCAGATTGGAAAATGGATGGGATGCTGGTGTATCGCGTCGAGCTACATCAACTCTGTGGAAAACAATCTAGAGTGTCCTCCCTCAATTTCTCAATTTTGTCAAGTATGATGTCAACTCTGGTAACTCCGTTTATTTTGGAAAGACACTTGGGTGGGTACCCTTGCCCTTAAGGACCAGTTCCCGTCTTTCTATTCCCTTTCCCTTTACAAGGAAAAAGCTATCTCTCATTTTCTCCCAACACCTGCCTCACCCTCATCCTTAAGTTGGGTCTTTGGTTCTCGTAGAGGCTTGAGGGATGATGAACTTAGTAGTGTTTCAAACCTGTTGTCTCTTCTTGGCAGTGTTTTTCTGAACCCTCTTAGATTGGATGTGAGATTATGGTCCCCTCATCCAAAAGGTTACTTCACATGTGCTTCCTTTTTTAAGGCCCTTTGCTCTTCCCTGAGACAATTGGGTTTTCTGACCAAGGAGATATGGTCTAGACCTGTTCCACCTAAAATTATTATTTTCTGTTGGGAGGTGTTTTATAGAAAGATCAATACCTTGGACTACTTGTAGAAGAAAAGGCCTTTCATGTGTTTGTCCCCTAACTGGTGTGTACTTTGCAGGGCCAATCGTGAGGATTGCTTCCACTTACTTGTATCTTGTTCCTTTTCTGTTGCCATTTGAAGTTGGATTTTTGCTTTGTTTGGGTGTAGGTGGAATCTGACCACAAACTTAAATCAGTTGTTTGATCCTTCCTTTTTTGTGTGGCCTACAAATTCATGATCTGCTACCAGTTTTCTCCCCTTATATCAGGTATGACTTGAATTCAGGTAACTCCATAAAATTTTGGGAACAGATTTGGGTAGGGAATGTACCTTTAAAAGATCAGTTTCCTTCTTTGTATGCTCTTTCGGACCTTAAGAATGAGATAGTTTCTTCTTTCATCACCCCTTCCTCTTCCAATTTTGGGCCTGGGTGGAACCTGGGTCTGAGAAGGATTGTGAAGGATTTAGACCTCGACAGTATCTCGAGCCTCCTTGATCTCCTTGATAATGTCTTCTTAGACCCCTCAAACATGGAATCTAGATATTGGACCCCTACCCCAACTAGCTCCTTTTCTTGTGCTTCATTCTTTAAAGTTTTAAGCCAGTCCACTGATCTTGTTACCCCCCCCCCTTTCCCGGTTAAGGAGGTTTGGTGCAGACCAATTCCTCCCAGGGTTGGTAGTTTTTGTTGGGAAGCCTATCTGGAAAGAATTAACACTGGTGATTTGCTCCAAAAAAAGAGACCCAATACTTGCTTGTCTCCTCATTGGTGTGTTCTCTGCAAAGTCTGTTTGGGAGTAGGCATTTTCTCTCTTTGGGTGTAGCTGGAATCCCCCATCAAACATGCAAGGTCTATTCTCCCCTTCTTTTTTCAAGTGAAGAGTGAAAAGAGGAAAGATTATGTGGAGGGGAATGAGGGCTGCATTATGTTGGTCACTAAGGGAAGAAAGAAACTCCGGGATCTTTTTAGAAGTCGAGAGGGGGGCTGATGAACTGAGGGCCACAATTCATATTAGGGTTGTACAGTGGCTGAAATCCTTAGTGCTATTTACAGATTATACAGTGGATGATATGCTGAGGAAGTGGGGAGAAATTGCAAACTGTTCACAGAGCAAATCAGCAATGAGTGTGCCTTGGACCCCCCCCCCACCTGCTGGATTCTTAAAACTGAATTTTGATGGCAGTAGTAGAGGGAACCCTGGACAGTCAGGGATTGGAGGTGTTTTCAGGGATGAAAATGGGGTCATTTCTGCATTATACTCAGGCCCGATTGGAGTGGAGGACTCCCTTAAGAGCTGAGATTTATGCAGTTATGGAAGGGATCCAGAAAGCCAAGGAGATGAATATCAAAACAATCATAATTGATGGGGATTCAGAGGTGGTAATAGGGTGGCTGAATAAAAATAACAGTAGCCTATGGAATTACAGCAATGAGAGGAAAAAGTTTAAGTGGCTGGTGAGGGAGATGGAAGTGAAGATGAGGTGGGTTCAAAGATCGGCTCATTCCTTGGCTGACGGATTAGCTAAACAAGGGTAGAAAGGGGCTCAATGTTTTGGGCCAATTTGTAAACTACTGTTTCCAGTTCCTTATCTTTTCTTTAGTGCTCAAGCTGTATGTGGAAGACAAGAGTGCTTGTCTTCTTCTTTGTAATCATCTTTTTCCTGATTTAATGAAGTTGCTAATGAATGTGTTATTGATCAAAAAAAAAGATGTATTAGAGCACTTGCCTTGTGGACAATATAGGAAGAAAGGAATGCAAGGTTATTCAAAGAAAAGGAAAGAAGCATTCTGGCTATAGAGGATTGTATCTTGACTAGGGCCACCCATTGGTTGAGAACTGTGGACTTCTTTCATACATTTTCTTTTGATGATATTTGGAGAAACTGGATAGGGTGGCTAATAGTCATACGAGGAAGGACAGGGAATCTGCAGTGTGGGTGCCTCCGCCTGAAGGTTGGGTAAAGCTGAATTTTGATGGTAGCAGCCAAGGAAATCCAAGTCTATCGAGGATAGGAGGGGTGCTGAGAGATAAGGATAGCAACATCTTAGCCTAGGTTTCAGGCCCTGTGGGGATAGGAGACTCTAATAGAGCTGATATTTTAGCAGCTGTACAAGGTATTCAGATTGCAGAACAATTAGGAGTTCAGAATTTGGCAATTGAAGGAGACTCCAAAATTATTGTGGAATGGCTGACAGATCCAGGCTCAGCTATGTGGCGATACAAAGACTTATTGAGGAAAGTCAATTGGCTCACAAGAGGCATGACTATCATTGATCAAAAAAAAAGAAGCATGACTATTACCTCTCTTTGGGTGGAAAGATCAGCAAATACATTAGCAGATGGGTTAGCTACGCAAGGGGCTTCAAGGGAACATTTATTTTGGACTGCACTGTAATTTTATTTCTGTTTTTTCCTGTTTTAACTTGATGTAACACTTTGTGAGAAGAGGTAACAGCCCATGCCTCTCCATGGTTTCCTGTAATGCCTTAATTCTCTGGTTTAATAAAATTATCTTCATTCATCAAAACAAAAAAACATCAGAATGGTCAGCCTCAACTAACCATCCATAGTAAGCAGACATCAAGTACAACTCCCCCCCCCCCGATCTATAAATCCCCAATGCATTGTGTTTCTTGTAACCCCCGGTTTTGCCAACCCATCTGCTAGACCATTAACAGTCTTAGGTATCCACTGTTTGGTTGCTCCCAAATCATTTATAACTCTTTTAGCTTCTTTGATTCTGTACTGTGTTTCCATGGTGGCATGATCTCTCTTCATTGCATGCCAAACAACTTGTTATGACCTTCAAATCCCCTTCAATTCCACATTAGTCAAAGCCCCAACATCAACAGGACCACAGTAAAGAAGCAATATGTTCACAATCATTTCTAATCACTTCTCCAATACCTGATGCACCTGGATTGCCCAAGTAGCTGCCATCAAAATTCAGTTTGAAATGAAGTGTTTGGTGTGCACCAGTCCACTTGTAATGTTGACTTGAGGCAAATTCAGCAACCTCTTTTCAATTTAACATCAACAGTTGTACAGCTGTATACAAGCCAAATAACTCCAAAGCTTTGACCCAATTTGCCAATTTGATGGTGATATCATGAATGATTGACTTTAACTAATTTTCCTTACCATTAAAGATGCATGCATTTCTTTCTTCCCACACACACCAATGAGTAGCAGCTCCAAGACAGCCTCACAAGATCCATCATCTCTTTTTTGGAGGGGGAAAATGAGGCTTCAAATAACTGTTTGAGATCACTATTAGGCACTCACATTGCTAATTATTATTTAAAATAAAAAAGAAGAAAATTTTAAGGAAAACCAAGTCTAACTTACATGTTATCAATAATATTTAAAGTCTATTGTAACAATGTCCCTCATTCTGACTATAATTAATGTCAAATGGTACGACAGAATGCAGTCTCAATCATTAAAAAAAAAGAGCCACGCTGCTTTCAATATAAAAAAGAAAGAAAGATCAATACCTCAAATATAAGCAACTTTCAATGGAAAAATAAATATTAAAACATAAAAGAAGATCTTCCTTTATTTTTTATAAGTAAACAGATTGTCGTTACAATAGCAACTATTTATGGAATCACACATTGACTAACAAGAACATATGGCTTAAAATGAAGTAAGAAAGCATCAAAACAGTGGTACCTCAATCAACTCCGCCCCTCCCCAAGGGAGACATGATAAAATGCATGTTATATAAAAATCAGCACATGCTTGCCAAGAAGGATTTCCATTCTCTTCATCAATTGTTGTGGCAGCTGATGATAATAGTGTTTCAAAGACCACCACTATTGAACCTGGTTGAAGGACCTTGCTGCACATCTATAGAATATAGCAAGCATTACATCTCAACATATACTTTGGAATCAATAAAAGGAGAGGGAAAAGTGAATAAATAGCTAGCTATTGGGAAAAGGATATACTGTTGCAATTTCCTATTTTTCATTGGGGAAGGGGAGGATGGTAGAGGGGTGTTATTAAGAGACTTCATTCCAACCACATCGTCATGATAGTAAAACCAAAAATGAGGTAACAATCACTAGACTACTGCCCAATTTTCACCATTGAAGCCTAGGGGTGTCAACAGGTCAGGTTTGGGCCTGGTTCGTGTATATGCAGACTTTGATCCTATTATATTCCTCCATTGCAGGTCAGATTGAGACCTGGGTGTGCCATAACTAGTTCCACACCTAAACCAACCAAATTTTAGTAACTAATCAGGTATGTGCCTATGTGGAAATTGACAAAATCCTATTGACTAATACTAAAATCTTCCTTTTCATAAAAATACTAAAATATACTTTTTACTACATGCCTATAGTTAAACAATAAAAGGAAAAGACTGGATTTGCTCTCTTCCTTCCAATAAATTTCAAGATTATCGGCTTTTCGCCAATCAATTCCAAGATTGGGGCTGATTCGTTATGGGTTATAAATCTATCATCTATGGACCCAAGTTGGGGGGCAATATGCTTGGATCCAAGGACGTCAGGTATCTGAGTAATTGGGCACCCAGTGCCACCCCTACCATTGCTAAATAAATAAAGGGACGTGGCAATAACAGATTGAAGCTTCACTGGTCAAAATAAAGATGGTAAAAAATAACAAGGCGATTATTTTATGCAAGTTTTTTATTGGGACCATTTTATGCAAGTTCAGCCTAAATTTTATAAATTTATTTTCCTGATAATCCAGGCTTTTACATCCATCAAGCTCCTAAACAGAACTCTTTTTTTCATCAGTTACTCGACAGATAATTCTTAGACAGGCTAACAGATACATTTAGTATTTTGCATTTTGTTCCACACTAAACAACCAGAATCACTGAACCAGCTGCTCTCACAGAAAGGGTACTCAAAGATCAAATTCGGCATCCTTTCACTCTTTTCTACAGCTTCAGACATATGCATCTGAACGGTTGCAACTGTACATTTTATATATGTGATTCTTCCATTTTCTTTGAAATTAATACATTACTCCCTACCTAACAGAAAAGGGAAACATATTCATATTGCTTTTATTATAAGGTTTTTATGTCATTTGCCAACCTGGCAAACCCCAAACCGTTGGGATTAAGGCTGAGTTGAGTTGTGTACTCTTTACCTATCAGAAAATGGAAAAAAATAAAATAAAAAGAAAAAGAATGGAAAGCAAAGAAAGAGGGTAAATTACTTGTACCTCTTCTGAGGTTTTGGTAAAATACTAAAACCTCCCCTTCAGTTTACCGAGTGATTAAAAATGTGTGCCGAAGGTGCACTTCAAGGTGTGAGTCTCGCCTGTGCCCAGGCACAGCCCCTTTAAAAAGGTGTGCGCCTGGTGAGCCTAGCCATGCACCCGGTTCTCTTTGTGCATCAGCACAATTGCATAACCTTTTTAAGCTAAGTGGTTATGCCTCACTCACTTGTTGGTGCTCCAAGAACCGCCTGCCCTCTTTTTGCTTGTGTTTTTCTCTCATTGTTTGTAGTATTATAAGACATTCTTCATCAAACAACATTTGATACCTAATCCTAAAAGATAAGGAACTATAACTGAAATTACAAAACCAATTACTTCATACAACATTTGAAACCTTTCAAATGTTTATACGACATTTGAAACCTTTCAAGAGTCTATTTCGCCCTTCTATGACCTTATTGTAAATTCACTGAATAAAAATACCCTTATTTATTTCTTGAAGAGGCATTTTCTGCCATACTATAAACATGAGAACTAAATGCTGAAACCTGAAAGCAGGATCAAGAAAAATAGAAATCTGAGATGGTTAAACTGTATTTATTGGTTATAAACAAGGTTGCATTTATCAAAAAGATGTACTTTAAAAGTAAGGACATTTGGGTACAGGTGCAAATTGGGTATCCAACTTAGATTTTACAGTGCATTGGGCGTTGGGCCCCAGCCATCAGGCTGGACCTATTTAAATTTTAACAAATGCTCAACCTAAACCTACCCAGGTTGCAGCTTGCAGCCCTACATTTTGATAAAATACATATTTCTATCATAAGTGCATCTCTTCAGTTGACAAACTCCCTGCAGTTTCATGGTCAAAGGGTATATAAATTAATAGGTAACACCTAAGAGGAAGTCTTATAATTTGACTCAAACCCCAAGAGGGGTAAAAGTAATTTACAAAAAAAAACAGAGTTGGGGTGACATTTCAAAAAATAATAAAGTTGTCATATCAGATCAATATGTACAATGAATTTTAGTGTAGCAGGAGGGGTGCCATAGATTTTTTTTATTGGAAATTTATTAGATCAATACCAATCAAAGAAAAAATTATTAGATCATTTTGTCAAAGTTATTGTGCTGATGGGATGTGGCATGAGGGTCTTCTTTACTTCAGTTAGATCTCAGTGATTGTTTATCACCAGAGTTCGTATTTTCTCTTTTTTCTTTGTTTCAATAAATTATCTATTTGTTATCAAAAACAAAGGGAACATTGCTTGGTGTAATGGTAAAATCTCAGTCTGACAAGTGTGAGAATGTAGGTCCAAACTGACAGCAGCCACCTTGTGAAAAAAAAAAACATGCCAATGGTTAGGTCTGTATCCAGTCTACCCTCCCAAGGCCCCAGATAACTAGAACCAATATTGAGTAATGGCCTTCTTTTAATCAAGAAAAGTGCAAACTACGTAGCAAGTATCTCAATTTTTTGGAGTTTCCAGGTTAAAACTCTGTCACGTAATGTTGCAGACACAGAAATACTCCTGTACTCTGACCTCCAACTCAGGTTCTCTGACACCTCATGCCACATATTTTGCAGACAAACACTGACTTGTTACATAGCAATTAAACTAGTGATACCAATCACTAGATCATGAAGGGGTGACTTCAATGTTATAAGGTTTGTGGAAGAGACTAATAATTCTACGCAAAGAATCAGTACAAGCATGAGAAGATTCAGTCAATTTATTGATGCCTTCAAGCTCATAGAGTACCTCTCTCATATAGTAATTTCACTTGGTCTAACTTGCAAGCCAACCCAATCAAAGTTAGAAAAGAGTAGAACCACGGAGGAGGTAATTGACACAATCAAAGTTAATGTAGCCCATTGGGTAAGCTCTTTGCATATCTTCCAAGAGTTCTCAGCCACAGACATTATAAGATCCTGGACAGAAGTAGCACAATGTTCAAGAGCGAAAGAGAGAGAAAGGACGGAATGGAAACCTCCAGATGGTAACAGAATTAAACTGAATTTTGATGGAAGTTCATTTGGAAATCCGGAATTGTCAGGTATCAGGGAAGTAATCAAAAATTCTGAAAGGAGAATATTAGCATTGTTCTCTGGGCCTATTGGCATGGGCAACTCTCTAAAAGCTGAGGTAATGGCATTGCTACAAGGATTGAAGATAGCCAAGCAACTAGGAATGAGGCATATTGAGGTTGAAGGGGATTCCAAGGTGATCATCCCTTGGGTACTACTCCGTGGAGTTTCAAACAAGTGATAAGGGGGAGTGGAAAAGGTTGCAAGGGAGGTAGAGGCAGAATTCAAAAGGGTTAGGAGTGCAAATGGGCTAGCTGATTATCTTGCTAAACAAGGGTCTTTGAGGCAACAATTGTTTTGGGCTGCATTGTAAAAGGGACAGAAACATGTAATAGTGTGGGACTTCTAGTCCCATACACAAAGTTGTAAAACTTTTTAAATATAATTTCAAAGAAAAGTTTCCTTTGATGATAAAAAAAAAAAAAGCCAACCCAATTTGTTCCAGGTTGAACAGATTCTTGTTTTCAGTGGACTGAGAGGAACATTGGGGAAACCTAGTATCTAAAGCCCTTCCACAAGTAGCATTGGACCATTGGCCGGTTTTGTTCTCTTAAGGATAAGTTGGGTGGCAGAGGTCCAACTCCATTCAGATTCGAGAATATATGGCTTTGTGCCAATAGCTTTACTGATAACGTCAAGGATTGGAGGGAAGGGAACAATCCAAGGGTGAAATGGGAGGGGATGAGATTCCATTGGAAGTTGAAGGAATTAAAGTTAAAGATTAAAGAATGGAATGTCCAGCATTTGGAAAATTGAAAGATATTAGGCAAAAGTTAATAAGTAAGATCGAGGAATTGGACTCAAAAGAAGTGACGTCCTTTAAGGAAAGAGAAGGAAGAAAGATGGAAACCCAAGAAGAATTTGGAGGATTTATTGCTCAAGGAAGAGATAAGCAGGAGACAGAAATCTAGGAGCACTTGGCTAAAGAAGGGTGATAGGAACAAGGTTTTTAAAACCGACCCGGATAACGAACCGGTCAGGGGTCCGGTTCCCAGGTCAAACGGTCCGATCATTCGAACAGAACAATCGGCCCGCTCTAACAAAAAATTAAAAAATTAAAAAACGATCAAACCATTGAACGGTTCGTACAATTCAACCGCCCAGGTCAGCGATTTGTTGACCAAATCAACGTTTTTTGGCAAAAATCTGGCTTTGGTGAAAAACAGAACCGGTCACCTAACCGGTTCCCGGTTTTTCCGGTCTGGCTGCCCGGTCCAGTCTAGTTTTGAAAACCATGGATAGGAATATTAAATTCTTTCATGTGATGGCTAATGGAAGAAGGAAGAATTTTTGTGTCCAAATTAGAGGTGAATGGGACCACAATCTATCAACGAAGTGATATCGCTCGAGATTTTTTGGATTATTTTAAACCCATTTTTAGGAAGCCCTTAAATGATAGATTGTGGCTTGAGGGCCCAAAATGGTCTAGGTTATTTAGGAATCTATGTGGATGGAAAGGGTTTTTTTTGAAGAATAAAAGGAAAAGTTCAATCAAATAAAAGAGAAAATACAGCAAAAGGTGATAAGAAATCACCAAAAGCAAAAAACACCCTCAAGA